GGGTGGTCTACTAAAAAGATGTTTCTTCAAGTGCCCTTTTCTAATCATCTCAAGGGGAACACAGCATCGGGAAAAATAGCTATGATTCTTTCAAAATCGCCTCTGCAACTTCTAGGAACAGGGCAGCCAGACCCATGTTCACCATCTGATTTCCTCATTAACGTAAGAAGAAATTGTCAGGATAACAACCCGGGAGAGGACTCCTCTTCTCTGATCAACAATTGATGGCTGATGAGAAGACAGCAAGAAATGTCCGAGCTTACCCATAGGATGATGAATTGACCTTTTAGAATAGACTTTGTCAGGGTTATGGTGAAGATGTCTGCACCAAGTGCATGCGTTGACCGGATCTCAAGGTCAGGTCCTAACAAACTGTTTCATGCCTCTCTGCAGCTCTTAAATAACAGTCCCATTATCTCAGTGTGACTCTGGAGATTTTCACATTCTTTCATTGGTTGCATATACAAGCTAAACTGAAATGCATGCCAGTCTCAGTTGAGAAGCAATATCAGTGAGTTGAGCAGCAATCAGCAAGTTATGGACTAGACCATGAATTTGTTTAAGGAGTTCTGATACTGGAAGACAGATGCTGTTTACAATATTGTTATAAAGTAGAAGGTGACATTCTGCTCCTAAAGCTTTCCTCTTTCTAAATGTTAGTTAAGTGATAGATTTTAGGAGCATTAAGAAGTCTAGAAATTTGACTGAAATTATACTAACATACACTGATACACATGAACCTTGGAAGGTTGCACAAAATTGAAGCGTGGATTGCATACGTATAGCATACAAGGAATGATCAAATATAAACCACTGGATGGATACTGAACAGAAGAAGGCCATAGCAGTTAGATGTACTGACATACCCATGAACCCCTTCTTTTATTTATTATCAGCAAGAAGCGTTTTCATAACATATAAGATACAAGAAGTAATTAAAATTACAAATCCAACTAGCTGTTCCATGGAGTTTAAAGGCAGAACAATCTTTGAACTCCAGACAGCACAAAGACCACACAAGACATAGAGAAGGATGAAGTGAGTATTAGTTCATGCCAACTTGCCACAAGTCTACAGACAAGAAAGGAAGACAGATGAAGAGAAACTTGATCCACACTAGATGAAGAAATTATGTGTTTTGATGCCACAAAAGTATCACTCAATTTGCGGGATGATAAGGAATGGGAATTACGCATAGATCAATTTTTTTTCTTCCCACAGTGCTGAAAACTTCAGTCATATCTAGATCTTCAGACGTCTTTCCATCAGGAAGTTTCCAATCAAAATGGTGCAGTAAATTTGCAAGTGCGAGCTCAATAGTGGCAGTGGCAAATGAAATGCCAGGACACATCCTCCTCCCAGCACCAAATGGTATAAATTCATAGTTACTTCCCTTGTAGTCAGCTGTGCTATCCAAGAATCTGTTGGGAAGGAACTTGTCAGCTTGAGTCCAATATTTTGGATCCCTTCCAATTGCCCATGCATTGATTACGACTCTGGATTTTTCAGGTATCTCGTATCCATCAATCTCACATCTCTCTCTACTTTCTCTTGGGGCCAGCAAAGGAGCAGCAGGGTGTAATCTCAAGGTTTCTTTGATAACAAGGTTAAGGTACTTTAATTCATGGAGGCCTGCTTCATCAACGCATTTTTTTCCAGCAAAGACATGCCTCACCTCTGCCTGTGCCTTTTCCATTACTATGGGGTTTTTCAGCATTTCTGCCATTGCCCATTCTAGAACTGTATTTGATGTGTCACCACCACCCGAAAATACATCCTGAAATAGAAATATTTAGTTTTCTTGAGCAATCTTCAGATTATAGGTGAGTAAAAACACTTACCATGATAACAGCTTTAATATTGTCTGTTGTTAAGGGAATTTCAAGTTCTCCATGGTCCTGAAGATCCAAAAGTGTATAAACAAGATCATCTGCTTCAGTCCATCCGGTAGCTCTCTTAGCTCTATGTTCCATAATGATGTTTTCAAGAATCTCATCTACTTTGTGATGCAGCCTCCTTGATTTAGGCCTCATTGCATGGATCAAATGGAGCAACTTAACCGAAGGGAACAAATCAACGAGCTTCAAGCCTCCAAACGATGCTAAGTAGTCCGAGGCAAGTTGTTTGAATTCTTCTTGGTGTTTAGACTTCTCACCAAAGGCTGCCCTGGATGTGATGGAAAGTGTTGTAGAATACATCATCTCCCTGAGGTTGATCACAGATCCTGCCTTTGTTGAGATGTCTCTAATTAAATTCAATACCTCCTCTTCTCTGATTGTTTTGAATGATCGCATCCGCATTGGATTTAGCAGCTCTGTTGTGCAAATCTTCCTCACCTGTCTCCAGTAGTCTCCATATGGCGCAAGTGCAATGTTTGTAAAGTTGTGAGTAAGTAACTTCAGGGAAGGGAAACTTGGCCTGCTAGCGAAAATGAGGTCGTGAGTTTTCATCACATCTTTAGCAGTTTCAATTGAGGAGATGACAAAGGTCGAGACTTCACCAAGTTGTAGGTGCATGATAGGGCCATATTTCTTGGCCAAGTTTCTTAGGCAGTGATGAGGAAGGATGCCAACAAAATTGTGGAGGTTTCCTATCAGAGGGAGTTTTCGTGGTCCAGGAGGTAGCTTTGATGAGCAGCCATGGTTTACGGATTTTCTCCATATTCTCCGGACCATGACTATGAAGAAGAGAAGGGTGAGAAGGAAGTTGAAGTAGGGAACTTGGTCCTCCATTTCACGACTCTTGAGGGTGTGGGATTTGGCCTTTAATTTCCGAGTTACCTAATTTATATAATAGGTTTTCAAGCCTTCCGAAAACTGTTCATTCGATTTACAAAAAATAATTTATTGAAAAAGTAGAAGAAAAATTAATGGGTCATTAATAACACATATTAGAGTAAAAAATGCTTAAAAATATAGGATTTTCATTTTAGAAAGGGACACTTCTATTTCCAAAGGAGTGTAATTGGGATTTTAGAATATTGGCTATTGAAAAGTAATATTAAATTAATTTTTAAAAAATATTAAA